ATATATATATATATATATATATATAAAGCATAATTATAAGGCTACGAAAACCAAACGAATTTTATTTTATAGCGATCATACACTTGTATAAACATATTAATGGGTAGAATATTCAGATTCGGATTCAGATTGACAATAAACCATGCCAAATATTACACACTGGCCCTTTAAAGTACTTACTGTAAGTAGAAATATTCACTATGCAGTTAACTGTTTCATGCTGTCATGTTTCCCTAATCTGATGATTTATGATTAATATTCCTGCTGCATTAATGACTGTGTGTCATTTTATTGCTGTAGGTGTTTCAGGCTGAGCTCATTTGAACTCCTTTATATCCTGTTGGGTTGTTTAATCTACAGCAATACTTACTCAGCCTCAACACATAAAGGAACACTTCATCCTTCAGTTTGTCACAAACGTTCAACATCAACTAATCTGGAGATTCATGGTTTTCACTGGACAGGAAGGGTATAAAAGACTGTCATCTGAGAAGTAACGCTGTCAGACAAATTTAGTGCAGCAAAAGTACAATATTTACCTCTGAGACCTCACATTTCTTTTCGCATGTTTTGCCTCCATGGCGAGCTGCTATTTGTCTCTCTGTAGTAAAGTATAAGGATCTGGTATTTGTACTTAAATACAGGAAATGTATTTAGCTACATTCCACCACTGTTACTCAAAGTACAATGTATCTGCACTAAGGTAAATCTCTATGTCTGTATTTAATCTGTACTTGCTAACAAACTCCACAAATCCATTCAGCAGCTCCACCATCCACCGTCAGACACACACAGCTGATTACTTGCTGTTGAATTACAGCTCACAACTCATCACACTGATGCTACTCCGCTCTGAGTGTTTCTGCTGGCTCGTGAAACATCCTGGTGCCAACTATCTACTGGAGTTTACCAGCCTGTTGCTCATGCTGAATATGATAATTGCAAACACGGCTGTTCTCGGCTTTCAATGTCCGAATGTCCACCACTAAGATTCTTTAATCATGGCTCCTTTAACAATGAAAATTAAACATAGATTTCAGTTAGTTTTTATTATAAAAATCTATTTTTAGTTCATCATTGTCTCATCTTCATCACTGAAATAAGGTTGATGAAAAAAGTGTTTGTCATTAACACTGACTTACACAATTAGTTAACTGGCATCTTGCAGAGGGAGTTGCTTTTGTTCTTGTGAATTATTTAACCTCTAGAATCATGTTTTATATAGCCATATTATGTTGTGTTATTTATTGTGGTGTCTTTTGTGCTGTACTGCCCAGAGCAGAATAAGTTTCCCATGAGGACAGTAAAGGACATCTAATCTAAAAATCTAATCTAATCTCCTTTTAGTCTCCTCTTACCAAGGTTGTTTTTCTCCACTGTAGGAAAACTGCCAGTCCTACGATGGAAACCTTGCATCTGTATTTGAAAACAAACACTTTGGTGACATTCAAGAACTGATGCAGAAGGCTGGTCACAAGTCTGGACAAGTATGGGTTGGAGGATCTAAAGCACCAGAGGTATATCACTTACCATTACACCAGTTCTGACAGTATTTAACAGTATTTTTATTAATAATATTAATTCCAACAAATGTTCTGTCCTGTTTTGCCTCACAGGATTCTTCTTGGTCCTGGAGTGATGGTATGTCTCCCAGTACATTTCCCAACTGGTGCTCTGGAGAACCTTCCAAGGAAAACTGCCTGAAATCAAACTTTGAAGGTAAATCAATCAACCTGAACATGATGTATGAGTGGTGTCATTTTCCCTGGAATATTTACTTTATTTATTTCATCAGAGAGAGGATGACATGCAGCAAAGGGCCACAGGGTGTAATCAAACTCCACATTAGTCGGGTTTCCATCCACCTATTTCTATTTGCATTTTCAACAACTGCGAAAAAAAACTTGAATGGAAACGCCAGAAATTCGAAAAAAGGCCAAAATATCGCAATAAAGTTTTTACGCTTGGAGGGGGTGGAAAAGTCAGCGTATCAATATTAGGAAAATGTGACTTCTGGCAATGGAAACAGATTTAGCGAATAAACAATGACGCAGGCTACCGAATCCTATGAGCATGCTGCTGAGATCTGCTGTGCTCTGTTCAATAAGTTATCACTGTAAAATAATCTTTGTGTAACACCTCTTGAAATAGATGAATAGTTTATATAGATCCAAAGATAATTTATAAAAAATATAATACAGTGAAAGACAAAAATGATCAGATAATGAGTCGTCAGCTGTCCTGGTAGGGGATCCTGCAAAGACTCGGCCTACCTGAAGGTTTCTTCCTTTTTTCCCGAATAAGGGTTTTTTAGGGAGTTTTTCCTGACATGCTTTGCAGGTCGAAGGCTGAAGACTCAAAGAACAACGAGATATAGCATAGCAGCACGCGAGCTTGCTCAGCCAGCATCTAACGTTACTGGCTGTTGTCCTATTTCTGCATTTACCCACGCCTTGACTACCGGCACCACCTAGCCGTTAGCTTAGCTCAAGGTAGCCAACGTGCTACATCCATGGTCTGTGACAACATAATGCTCACAAAAGCAAATAAACAGATTACAGACCTTAAGGAAGACATCAACCGACTCTCACAGGAACTGCAAGATAAACAGGCCATGCTGACCTCCTGCCTGGACCTGGCTCACGAACAGTCCTTGCACATTGTCTCCCTCAAAGCGGCCCTCCAGGACACCGTCCCATGGGATACCTCCACCGGTCCGCGGCCTTCCTCCTCCTCCACACCCAGCCTCCAGACATCCTGGGCTGAAGTTGTGATCCGCGACAGAAAGAGACTCCAGGATGCGACTGCCTCTCCTCCTCGCCTGAGCCTTTCCAATCGCTTCGAGGCACTAGCAGACAACCTAGATCTCCGCCCGGCTAGCATAGCTCAACCTAGCCAACGTGCTAGAACCGCCGCTAGCTCTCTGCACATGGCTGCTGGTGGTTGTGCAACTCCTGGCTCTGGAAAAGCCGCTGGCCCCTCTCTGCCTGCGGCTACTGGTGCTTCCCCCCTCGGGCTCAGGTGGCTCCACATCTGGGGTAACGTCAGCTAGTCCTACACCTGCGGCTGATGGCGTCCCCGCGGCTTCCCGCTCCAACGGCCCCGTGGTCCCCAGTGCCTTGGCGGTTGCTGGGGTGCCGTCTCCCCGCTCCAGCTGCCCTGCCTCTGGGATCATTGTGGCTGGCTCCACACTGGCAGCTGGTGGTGTACCTGTGGCTCGCCGCTCCGGCAGCCCGGCGCCAATGGGTGACGTGGAGCCCTCCTCCCCGCCAGCACCCGCCGGTACCCAGAGTGGCTCTGCTGCGGTCTCGGATCGCCAGCTCTCCTCCTGGACAACTACCTCTGCCTCACGTCTCAAATTCCTGAAGGAAGCCATCCTCAGACGCTCCGGAGGCCTCATCCACCCCATGCTCCCGGCAGACTCTCCTCCTCCTAGGGCCGTAACGGCCGATTCACCGCAACACCTGTCCAGCCGTGCCCGGTCACCGATCCTGCGGCCAGCGGACGGCCCAGACACTGTCTCGCCACCTTCCAACCCGGCAAAAACCCTTCCTTGCCCGCTCTTCCCTCCAACCACCCTGATCATCGAAGACTCCATCACAAGGATATCCGCTTCTTCAATGCCACCACCTGTTGTTTCCCCGGAGCCACAGTCCCAGTAATCCTGGGAAAACTCCCTGGGCTGCTGCAGTCACTCCCTTCCTCCATTACCCGCGTCGTGGTGCACGTAGGGACCAACGACCTGGCTCGGGGCACCTCTGAGCTGACCAAAAGTGCTTTCACCTCCCTCCTGGACTTCCTACGCACTTGTGGAAAGTCCGTTTTTATCTCTGGTCCCATTCCCACACTTGGTCGCGGGGACGCTCGCTTCTCCAGGCTGCTCCTGCTGAATACCTGGCTCAGGCCTGCCTGCTACACTCGAGGCTTCAACTTCGCCAACAATTTTAATCTTTTCTGGAACCGTCCTTCTTTCTTCAAACACAATGGCATTCACCCTACCACCCTGGGAAGCCACACGCTGGCAGCCAATATTCAGCATGCCGTACATCACGCGCCACGTGCATGACTATTTACATCACACGCCCCCTCCACTGACACACTTCCTCACCCCGTTCCAACTGCAGCACAGAGCACAGCCCCGCTCACCAGCGCCCCCGTCCGACCATATCAAACATTAACCCTCCCACCTGAGACATTCCCCATACAGTCCATCATAAAGCACAGACCACCCTGCCCTTACTGCACTAAAACTGTGAATTACAAAAACTTATCCACCATCTTCTGCACTCCTGCCACCCCCTGTGCTACTCAAACCCTACAACACCTGAAACTGGCTCTACTCAACACCCGCTCACTGACCAACAAAAGTGCCATCCTACATGAATTCATCACTGACAATAAACTGGACTTCCTCTGCCTCACCGAAACCTGGCAGAAACCCCTGGATTACTTCTCCCTAAACCAGACCACACCCACTGACTACACCTACACCGACAAACACTGCCCAGACGGACGGGGTGGTGGCGTTGCTGCCATCTACAAGAAACGCTTTAAAATATCCACAATCTCCATACCTCCTGCTCAGTCTTTCGAACAAGTCGCCCTCAAACTGTCTGGTCCCACTTCCCTGGTCATCGCCATCATCTACCGCCCTCCCAAACCAAACAACTCCTTCCTCTCAGACCTCGCCGAATTCCTCACCCAGCTATCCGCCGTATCCCCCTCAATTCTCCTGCTGGGGGACTTCAATATCCACATTGATGATCCAAACTGCAAAAGTGCAGTAGACCTCCTGGAACTGCTCCACTGCCTTCACTTCACCCAGCATGTCAGCTTCCCCACCCACTGTAGCGGCCACATCCTGGACCTAGTCTGCTCCGCCGGTCTCACCCTCCACCAACTCTCCAGTACCAACCTCCACATCTTGGATCACCTGGCCATCACTGTGAACTTCAAGACCCCCCTCCCTCCCCCAAAACTCAAACGCATTATATCCTTCAGAAATATCAAGTCCATCTCCCCCTCTGCTTTCTCTGACTCACTGGCAAATACTCTGTCCACATTCATCACCCCTCTGACCTGGTCACCCTCTACAACAACACACTGTCCCTCTGCCTTGACAAACTGGCTCCCTTAAAAACCAAAACTGTCTCATTTACTCACTCATCTCCCTGGTACACTCCTGAACTCCGTCACATGAAAACCCGTAAGCACCAGCTTGAAATACTTTACAAGAAAACCAGTCTCACAGTCCATCTCCATGCCTATACAGACCACCTTTCAAACTACAAAGACGCCCTCACTCATCACAACTGACACATGCAACTCCTTCCTGGCATTTTTTCAATCTAAGATCGAAACCATCTACTCTCAACTTAGCAGTCACTTCGTCATGGTCTCCATTTCCACTGCTACGCTGACGATATCCAAATCTACATCTCCACAAAATCCATCACCCCGGCCACCCGCTCTACCCTCACCAACTGTCTGACTGAAGTCCAATCATGGCTGCAAGCCAACTTCCTCAAACTCAACTGTGACAAATCTGAAATAATACTCATCAGCCCAAAATCCTTCTCTACAGCAACACAAAACTTCACCCTCAGCATTGACAACAACACCCTCTCTCCCTCCCCATTAATCCGCAACCTTGGTATCATCTTCAACAATAACCTCTCATTTGAACATCACATCAGCCGCCTCGCCCAAACTGCCTTCTTTCACCTTAGAAATATTGCCCGTCTCCGTCCATTACTCTCCTTCTCTGCCGCTGAAACTCTCATCCATGCTTTCATCACCTCAAGACTGGATTACTGCAACAGCATCTTCTACAGCTCATCATCCAAAGTCCTCAACAAACTTCAGTACATCCAAAACTCTGCTGCCCACTCCTCACCCACACCAGCTCCCGTGAACATATAACCCCTGTCCTGCAAAACCTACACTGGCTCCCTGTCCCGTACAGAATCAATTTCAAGATCCTCCTCCTCACCCACAAAGCCCTCCACAGCCAGGCCCCCTCCTACCTCACGGACATGCTCCACCATCACACTCCCTCCCGCAACCTTTGATCATCCGACAAAAACCTCCTCTCACCTCCACACAGGACCAACCCCCTCCCTCTGGAACACCCTCCCTCTACACATCCGTGACTGTCCAAATCCATCCACCTTCAAATCACTCCTCAAAACCCACCTTTTCAAATCCGCTTTTAACCTTTAACATTAGCTTTTCGTTCTCGGTTCCTTAAGTGCCCTCCTTTTCTTTGTTTTGCACTATGCTTTTGCACCTTGTTGTTTTATATTGTGCTTGTCTTCTGTTTATCTCTTTGCACTTACATATTTGTACTTCTTTTCTTTGGTTTTAAATGTAAAGCGTCTTTAAGAGCTGTAAAAGCGCTGTGGCCTGCATATCCTTCTGGTTTTCTTCCAGTAGTCTCAGACCTTTACCTTGGTAGGCTGCTCTTGTTTTTCATTGGAATAATTCATAAGAAGGTTTCATATTTGGCATCAACACAAAATAACTGCTTACAGATTGTCTGCTGTGTGTCATTGATAATGAGACCTAATTTAAGTTTGGATGTCAAATTTCTAACTGTTGCAACTGTTGAACACTCATAAGTATTATTTCTGATCATATTTTTTTCTTGTTGAGAAGTAATGATAATAATGTTGACATAAACCAGTTTAATTTAATCTGTTATTTACCATTCAGTGACGAAATTATATAGCACACAAAACAATACTCAGGGAAGACAAGCTGCCAACCTTTTAACTGACTGGGGATAGTATGGGACCTGTATAATAGACAGGGGGGCACTGGCCCAAAAAGGTTGAGAACCACTGTTTACATTGTGATGCATCATTAGACAGGTGACATGCTCTGACTCCTGTGTGTTTGGTACTTACAGAGGATGCGTCAGGATGCTTGGAAGGCTCGGTGTGTGATGCTGAGCTCCCATCTGTCTGCAGCATGATCATGTGATTCCTGAGCTGACACAATTCATCTGTAAAAAGTACAAACAGTCTCATATATAACCCGTAGGATCTGTGTCTCATGTTATGTCCTGTTTATTTCTTCTCTATCGCTGTAATGCTTCTTAACAAATGAAATGACGAAATGAAGAGCTGGATTGTCTCTTAGGTCTAAATGCTTTTAGCACATCTATTCTGCAGAGTGAACTGTTCTTTCCTGGCAAATTAAAAAGCGTAAGCTGTGAAAATCTCTGATGGTCTGTGCGCCTTAATTTGATACTTAATGTGATAATGATACTTGATGTTTAAACTGGTAAACTTTATTGATTTTTCAATTCAATCAATCAATTTTATTTATAAATTGCATTTTTGTAAATATACACTAATTTTGAATTTGATGCCTGTAACATATTTCAAAAACGTTGGGACAGGAGCAACAAAAGACTGGGAAAGTTGTTAAATGCTCAAAAAAAAACACCTGTTCGAAACATTCCACAGGTGAACTGGTGAATTGGTAGATTAGTGTCATTACTGGGTATGAAAGGAGCATCCTCAAAAGGCCCAGTCGTTCACAAGCAAGAATGGTCACTTGGTTAAATCTGCATGGGCAAATAGACCATTAAGAAAAACATTTCTTGATGCATACATACATACATACATATA